TTGAGCGTGCACCCTTTACAGAAACGCAACTGCAAGCTGCCCGTGCTATGTTGCAGCGGACAACCCTGCACATGCAGCTATAAATACACGTGCACCGTGCCGGCCTCTTTGCTCATTGCACGCACGTCCAGAGGGATCCGTGCGTGCCGCTTGCATCCTGCAGATGTGCAGGGCCGCTGTGCTTCGCCATAGCGTTGTTGCTGTGCAGTTGTCGTACCGCACGATACTCTATAGTGCTGCTCCGCTTCACCATAACATGCTGTCTAGAGTGAGCGCCAGACACTGCGCTGGCTGCATCTGCACGCATGCCGCACACGTGTTGGCTTGTTAGGCTTGAGTGCAACACGCATGCACGGGGAACGCCTGATTTCATGGTCCATAACATTGCTTGTCAAGGATAATGGGATACATTTTTTTTCCGCCCCCACATTTTTAATCATGGATACCGTGAGTCAGGGTTTGGGGTAGACATAACGTTATGCTTGGGTTTAAAACTGGAATTGCAACAAAATAATAGTTCACAAATTAATCTTTTTCATTTTCTTCTTCTTAATTATCTGCCTTGCAGTAATACATCTTGACGTAAAGCTTTCGTGACTGCAGGAATTCATATTCTTGGGTCTTTCGGTAAAGACACGTAGATAGGTTCAAAGAAAATTATCTTTGAACCTATCTACGTGACTTTACCGAAAGACCCAAGATTATATAATAGTAAAATATATTTTACACTTTGTAAAATATACTACGTCGGACGAGGTTGGTGAGAATAATCTCGGTGTTGGTTATGTAACAGGCACGTTACCGAAATGGCAACGAGGGAGGGAGGGGGTTGTTCTCCGAGGCTAAGAGGCTGGCCACTCCTCTCCGGAATTCATCTCTGAGACAGCAAACGGAATGCAGAGGAACGCCGGTTCCCTCTCTCAGCGCGGTGGTTTAAACAACTAGATCCTCCCACGCTGACGAATGTACGGACGGCTAAATAAGCGCATGCAACACAGATTGGACGCGATTGTGATTGGGCATCGCATTTCGCCAAGTCCGCCAGAAAACGATTGTTGCGACCGTAACTGGATGGCATTAGCTGAAATGAACTAAACGTTTGCTGTGTGTCATTAAAAACATTGTACACAGGCAGATATGTATAATACTGCATTAGCATATCTTAGCATTAGTGTTTTTTACAGTGAAAATCTCAACCGTAGCCTGTATCTGAATACAAATCACAGTATCTGCACGAAATGGCATTTATCGATCTCGTCTCATTATTGCAATCAAAGCGTAGAAGGAATATCTGCTCGTTATTACTTTTTTTTTGCTTTTGCACTCTTTAATTTGCAATCTGCAAGTGAGGCGAGCAATCGTGGATTTCCATAGATTTCCAATGGGAAAACCGAGACTGTAATCTTCTGGTCGACTTGGGCGTTTTTTTTCTTACGAAATTACCATCGTGTTTGCAATAGTTATGTCTCCACACCGCGACGTGCAGCGACCTCGTCGAGCGAGCACTCTCGTCACGTTCCACGCTATGAACCTTATAAAGCCCCGACCCTTAACCTCTGCCATCGTGGAAATCTCAAAAAAATATTCTAATTTGTCTTACCAGCTAAGGCCCACTGAGGCGTGTAGCCGTTTCTTTAGAAGCGACCTGGTTATCACAAATGATAACTTAACGAAGTGGCTTATGACGTGGAAATATACAGCAGCCAAATGCTCTCTCAACGCATGTTTCAAATGTGCAGTAGGTGTCAGGGTCGGGATTGAACCCACTGCCTCCTGTATACCAGGCAAGGTAGTTAACATCTCGCATCCCTCCTGTGTGTTACATTTAACGATGGCGAGTAAGGGGATTGGCGTGCTCTTCATTCCCGCCGTGCTTTGTCCGTGATTTCCCTTCGGCTGCACGTTCATGGCCAGGCGTGGGATGCGGTATCAACGGAACGTAGAGGAAGTCTTTTCCAGTTGGGCCTCTTTTTTAAAATGAATAATGGAGTCCCGTGATGAATTACTCCTGGTGCGCAAATACCAGCACTTTGCAGTTATTTGCCCAACAGGATCCATTGCACTCCGCAGATAACAAGAGTTGTGGATATGAGGGTCGTAGATAGGAGGCATTCCACTGGAGTTAAAGTAATTTACAGTAACATTTCAGTATGGGTTTCTAAATAATATTGACATGGTCACAGAGGGGTTTCGTTTTAAGGGTCTAGAGTGTGTTAAGAGTGGAGTGTAAATGAAGTGCCCTGTGTGTGTGAATTACATAGAAGCTGGCAACAATTTTCACTCCCCCACAGTACTTTGTGTGTCCTTTCATGAGCTGCTTTTGTTTAATTTGAAGTCAATTTCCGTGAGAATGTTTGACGAGTCTTGTTTTTCTCGTGGTAGCAGCAAGTGGCTATCTAGCACGGTATCCGGCACCACTGCACATGCCTTACCAGTCTGCTCCACCGCTGCTCTTGTTAAACAAACAACAAATAGACAACACTGGCCATCCAAACGGCTCTGAAGGTCATCAGCATACCACTCATTGCAGGGATAGAACTTGAGGACACCTCATCACGCAGGTGTGTACGCTTAGCTGTGAGGCTCCAGGGTTAGCTGATGTGTGCACAACGTGAGTGGCCCGTGATATAAGATTGCTCAAGCAGGTCGTTTGAGTTGTATCACATACATACACAACACAAAGATCACCCGTAAAGCCTTAGCAGACTGTTGGGGCAAGTGCTGTTAGCGAGTAGCACCTAGGATGGCCAGCACGGCACACGAGGGTGCGGGTGGCCAGCGCCACGCCGGGCCGCCTTTGTCTCCCCCAGTGGCGATGTTTCCACACCGCACCAGGTATTCATTTGAGGCTGAGACAACCTAGGGGAGGCCCAGGACTGGTTCAGATAATCGTCACTGGTGTTGGCCGTGAGCGGGAATCGAATCCGGGTCGCCAGATTTGTAACGCAGCGTAGCGCTAACCGTTGCACCACCACTCCACACGCATACACACACGTACAAACTCACTCCTCCACAATGCTTCCAATTTGACTGGGGACTTGGAGCCCTGCTGGCCCCGCAGTTATCTACTGAGCCTCTTTATTTTCTTCCTTACAGTTAACAAAGGGACGGTGTTTGTTGTTACTCTTCCCATTGAGTCGAGTAGCAGGGGTGGTTGCTCTGCTTCCGAGCATCTCATTTGGCATTCCCAGCCAACTGCTAACGCGGCCGGTGTAGCATTCCCAGAATGATGGGGCAGGTCCATCCCAGATGTAGCATTCCCAGAATGATGGGGCAGGTCCATCCCAGATGTAGCATTCCCAGAATGATGGGGCAGGTCCATCCCAGATGTAGCATTCCCAGAATGATGGGGCAGTGTCCGTCCCAGATGTCGAATGCCCAGAATTATGGGGCAAGGTTCATTACAGATGTAGAAATTCAATAATGATGAGACAGGGTCCATCCCAGATGTAGAATTCCTAGAATGATGAGGCCGGGTCCATTCCAGATGCCACACATTCATTGAGAATGTCTGTAACAATAAAAGATGAACACGTTTATGTTCATCTCGCTACAGAGCACACTGCGCACTACCAACGGCTTCCATGCTTCACTCCGAGGGTGCCTCCTGCTGCCAAACCACGTTGAACACTGTTCAAACGCAGTGTTCGCCAGTAATAAGTGATAACCACTGTAAGCGAATATTAAAGCGCTTAAAAGTGGTGGGCATTATTGTTATGATTACAGTACAGCAGTCCGTTTTGATACACACTGTGTCACACGTTCACTCTCGTGCAGGCTGTGAACGAACTAGGCACATTGTCTTCAGCTAACGAAGCATCTGCCGCATTGTAATTGGGGCACATTGACGGCACAAGGGTGTCTAGCCAGGAATGTCTGGCTGCTTTCTGCTCGCACCAGCACTGCATTGTGTCGCGTGTCTGCGAACCGATAGATGACTGGCCAATGTGACGTAACTTCCTGTGATGCAACGCCTCAATGGAAGGTCCACGTTTAGCTCGGGCAAGGGATGTTGAGCAGAAAAAAATGTTCATCACAGTCGTTTTTGATGTTCTCGCCCAGAGCAGTGGCTCATGGTAGTACACAGAGCAACACAAATCAACGGTCTTGGCAAGACGCACAGTGCCGCGTCGACAACAGAACGATGTTCTGAGGAGCAATTGCTCTGTTGCTGCAACATAAGAGTCGCTACATATGGAATTGGGCTTCATATGCGTTGGGCTAAGTAGGGGTTCACTTCTTCCTTTCTAAACTCTTAACTGGCCTAGGAATCCCTTGGCTCAGCCATTGTGATGGCTTGCCATGTTACACCGCTAAAGAAATTGTTATTTTTAATCGAGTCTAAAATAAATGCCAACATTATAGCTGGGGAGCTAATGCTAATAACGCGTAACACCCAGGTGTATAGGGTTTAAATGGGGAATCCTTGTTGTCTTTCAATGGCAGTCATAATATCAGTTGCCTAAAGGCACGTTTTAAATAAGTAAAGCATAACGCTGTTTATAACATTTTTAAAACGTAAGGGACTGCTTTGGCAGTGGTGTATAAAACATATACTGATAAAACTATACGACGCCTGTCATCAATACCTCAGTATAAATGAATCACGTGGAAGCTGATACATTTGGAAGTTTCTCTCTTCAGATTACAGAGAAAGGGAAACCACTGCGACCATTTTGATTTTCATTGAAATTGGTAACTTTCCTTGAATAAGACCCACAATATTATTGTATTATGCCTGCCGTGTTTGTTTTTAAGCAGGGTCGTAACCCAGAAGGTGATACTATTGCTTATGTAATAACAAGTGAGGTAGTGATTTCTTTATATGCCATGCACTTGTCATATATATGATGTAACATTGTTATGTAGAGATGCGCTAATTTCCATCATGTGACCTGTACCTAAAGATTAACGTGATCTATAGGGTGTGTCCTTCTTATATTTATACGAGTGACATTTCTGACTTTTTCTGCTGATCTGTTTCTCTCTTTTTTATCCAGTTGAACCTACGGATTACTTCAGGTAAATATTATAAATGTCCATTAAAAAAAACACCCCAGTGTTTCTTACGCATCCACCTTAGAACCGAATCGCCCATCACCGAATTGTTTATTTTCTCCTCTTTACCCTCCGATACCTTTTACATATTCAGTCGTTATCACGCCGTGTCTTCTGTCTCTTCCCATTTTTTCCTCGTGTTTTGTTCCTGAGTTCAGCGTGTTCTGTCTTTCGTTTGACATTGTCTTCCCTTTTAATAGCTCCCTCTTTTCGTTCCTTAACGTCCCTCTTTGCGGTTTCAGATAACTTGTTATCTTTTTCGCTTCTTTGTCCCCCATTTTGAGCGCATCGTCCATTAGAGGTGGTAGTTCATTATGTAAATGGGAATCAATTGAATATTTTTTCTTGTCAAGGAATTTACATTTATTGCTTAGAAGCACTATAAATTCTCCTGCCTCTTGAAGACGATTTGCGATGTTAGCTATCTCGGTTTGTCCTTGTCATTAGAGGCAACCTTGCATCTTGCCAGCCGGCGATTACTTTCATGTGTGTAGAATTTGCTGAGGATAAAAACATATCTAACAATCGGGAGTTGTCCGTCAGAATTGCCAATATAATGTATAGCTTTTCCACTTCTGCTTCCATTTTCGTGTTTGAGACCACACTCTGCAGTGAAGACTTTATAACCTTTATATCCACTACAGAATGCATTAATTCACGTATGGATGTGGTGGGTATGAGTAATACACAATAGGATACAGTAGCGTATACTGTGCATACAACACGAGGTGCTGTCGTTAGATTCATACTTGGCAGCGGGCCAATCTGGGAGTGACATTTCTACAGAAACTGTGATGGTTGGATTGCTATAATAAAGCATCTCCATACTGATTATGGCACATATTTTTTGGGTCTTTCGGTAAAGTCACGTAGATAGGTTCAAAGAAAATAACAAAAAAATACAAAAAACTACGACGTTACGATCGCAACTCAAGCGTTTGTCATCAGTAAGAAAAAAGAGGTTGGACAGCTTTTTTCTTTCTTCCTGATGACGAACGCTTGTGTTGCGATCGAAACGTCGTAGTTTTTTCGTTATTTTTTTTATTTTCTTTGAACCTATCTCCGTGACTTTACCGGAAGAGCCAATGAATATGAATTCCTGCAGAAACGAAAGCTTTAAGTCAAGATTATGGGTACCTAATAGCGGCAGGGACGTGGAGTTAGCAAACTCCCTGTGGCCTACTCCTCGCCTGCCCTCCAAGTTGTTTATTTATTGAGGCTTTTTCAGTAAGAGAGTCAATTATTGAATTCATACTCAATTTAGAAACTCAATACTTACAACAACAAAACATCTCACCAAATTACAACGTTGATCTATCATTTTATAGATGTCTGTGATGGCTGCTACTAAACACGTTGTAGAATTCAATAAAAAATGGACGCACATACTTGTGCATTAAAAAAAATGCGTCGGATATGCTTTGACCATACGTTGTGCCAAATAAAAACACATTTTAACATGTTGAGTTCAGGCACATACAATATATGTCTATATTTGGACCTATTACTCATTTCCAATATATTTAATTGTTTGCTTTTAAAAACAAAACCCCCCGAGTGTGTTATGGTGATAAGGCTGCGTGAGTAAGTTCCAACATGATGGGATACAAATGGTCACTTACAGCTGGCTTTAAAATGTACACATTGTAGTTCATGATAAACGTATACCGGCAAGATGCTCTGTGTAATTACATCCAAAAACTTTAATACGAATAGTAATGTTGTTTATGTGTGGTGAATCTTGAACGTGTCCACTTAATTCCGTCCATATATTACTGCATTACCAACAACAAAGAAAATGCTATTGAAAGTCCGTCCTGTGACAGATCCATTCGTGAATTTGCCACATTCACCGGTTCCATCTGCCGCACCTTCCGAAGGTTCATGGTTACTGGCACCTCCGATTAGCGCTGTTGGCTACGTACGGTGCGCACGAAATTCAACATACGTACGTACTGACACAGAATGCGTTGTACATGCTTGTAATTTCTTTCTGTTTCCTCAGCTGTCCACCGTACAACTGTGATACAGGAGGGCACCTTGGTGGAAAATTGTTTTCCAGACACAGAAGGTATGACATTGAATTGAAGCTACCATGACCAAACCGATACTGAAATATATATCTATATACGTACAGTATATTAATAAAACTCTGTACGACAGAGTTTGAATTTAAACCACTGTAAAAAGAATGTTAGACAAATATAACAATGTGTTATGAAGTTGAATCTGATATTGCTTATCCACTGATTATAAAAAAAATCAATTAAGGGTAATATTTGGGTTAACAAGCGTTAAGGGTGTTTTAGTCTGGTACAGAAAAACTAAGCTGTGATGGTCACTTAACTGGTTGGGAAATGTAGCAGATCATCCGATTCACAATGATAAGTTTGTAAGTTACAATCCCAGTTGGGAGTAAACTGTGCCCATGATCTTTCCAGATTTGCTAAATTGAATATCAGTATGAGAAGCCAGAAGTAGTTTTCCTATGGCATAGATGATGAAGCCCGTGACCACAAGTTGCACTTTTAAAAGCATAAAAGAGCAACTTGTGGTATTGCCCCTTTGCCACAATAAAGAGGACCGGTGGCAAATGTTATCTCTGAAAATCAGGGTCAGATTTGGCAATTTAGCGAGTGTTTCTGTGATGTCCTAGCGGAAAGGGGGGCCCGAGGCTCACACACATCATTAGGCAAAGGGAGAGATGCCGTTGCCAGGGTTGCCGGGCCTCATTGGGTAGAAGACATAGGCACAATCCCTGCGCATTCGAGACAAATGTGTCCTCTGTCAAGGACGCGTGGAGTGTGACCGGATAAACTAACAGGCGTGGATGACCTCCGTGGCGAGCTGCTTATGGAGGGGAGTGATAATAACAATGCGTGAGCCACTCTGCATGACGTCAACGCAACTCCCTAGGACAACGGGACGTGTTGTGTACGCGAGGGCTATTAAGATTTCCGTTGATGGTCTGAAATTAAAAGAGTAACCAAGGTTGCACCGATTGCAACGCATATTGGGGAATCTCTCTTCTCGTCATACTGGGGAAGGTGCTGGCGGAAGATTATTCAACATAATTTTGTGAGGCATGCTGAGAATCTTGCTGAATCCCATTGTGGGTTCAGGCAAAGGATGCCCTCCCACTGGTTAACCATATTGACTCCCTGTGTGCAATGTACACTCATGACCTGATGATTACTGTGCATGCTATCAAGTTAGGGAAACCCTGCTGTTGAACCTGGAGCTTGATTCAATGAGGTGGGATGTTACCATCAGCCCTACGAAATCCAAACACTTCGCCAGACACACTCGCCGTGTTATTCCCCCCGCATCTTATTGAGGGGCGGCAGCTGTTTAGAGAGTCAAGGACTTCTTTTGCACATTGCACAATGCTCGTGGGCAACTGGAATTTGGAAGCAGATATCTCGATCTGAATAATCACACAGAATGGCAGCGTCATCCAGGTTTGTGTTTTGGTTTGGCCACGTGTTGGTGGTGGTGGATTTATACTGAAATTAACGTCATGAACCCTCTAACGCCCAACAAGGTTGTTACGTTTACAAAGATGTCATTCATACTTGGCCAGCGTTTTGATGATCAAATTGTGACTGATCATGCTCCTCCTCGCATCGAGCTTCATCAGGCGGTCAGCTAGGACATCGAGCGTGGCCCCTTCACCTCACTCTGTGCTCGAATATCCAGGTCCCTGACATCAGAATCCAGAATATTTATTTATACTGGAGGAAATCCGATGAGCTATGAAGCTCTTTTTCACACATGTCCGGTCGACCAATCGCCACAGCGTTGGTCGCTCTTTGTATTTCATAAATAATATTAATTATCTCCAATAACTTCAAAGAAAACATTGTAAAAGGTCTTCCACGGACTGTTATTTCAACGGGCTACTTTTACATTCGTTAATTAATTCAAATATGTTTTCTTCAAATAAGTCAATTTGATTTCAAAGGACTTCATTTGAACTGGATTCCTGTTGAGCTCTCGTGGCATTACTCTTGTGTGGTTAGAGGGACGTTGTTTTTACAATTTACTTGTCAGGTTACATGTATATTAGTTGCATTGGTTCTGTTGGTTTATAATTGAGCGCAGTTTTTTCGTGTAGTCTTATATTCACTTATTATTGATGTGCTACCAAGCAGCGTTTAGTTTGTAACGCTGTGCTCTGTTGAAGTTATTTTTCTCGATCTCAATCGCGTCTCTGATTTTGCATGTGAAGTCCACCTGTGTGTGCGTCCATCCCCATGACACGCGTTGCTCTGCCACGGCAGATAGCATCGCCCTGCCAGTGTTGGCTGCGTCCCGCTGCCCCTTCACACGCACTCACCCCGAGCCACGCTGCCGGTCTGCCCGCCATAGGGAGGGAAGCTCACATCTGCGTCGTGAGTCGGTGTACACCTTCTGAGTCCGTCACTGGAAGTTTGTCACGTGTTCTAACAGTTGTTGCACATTGTTGGTTGTGCAAAAACCCACTTTGATGTTGTGTTTGGTTAGCACGGGATGGGCCACGCACAGTGCGAAAGAAGTTCAACATACGTACGATCCTAGCGTTTCGATTAGCGTTGTCTTTCAAGATGTATGTATTTAACCGTAAGTGATTAAAATGTATCATTAATGCATTGTTTTGATTTAGAGGCCTTCGTGATCTGTCGCGGGCTAAATCCTTCATATATATTGCAATGCTTGCTGGACGCATTGCATGTCTGCCTCCGAAGCGCTCCGCATCGGAGGCTGTTCTTGCTCGGTGCAGAAGCGTCTTCTTGAGGTTAGTCCGTCCGTTGTGGATGGAGGTGCGAGTTCTCTCGTCGGTCCACATCAGCGTGAGTGTTCTGCCTGTGCGCACCGTGTGTGCCATTCTCCACTGAGGTTAGTGCTCAATTGGCACATCCAAGAAGGGGAGTTTACCACTTCCTTTCACTTCCACGGCGAAGTTAATCGCTGGGTGTCAAGAAATGTTCTAATTGTGCCGCGCGTGCGTGTCCCCATGTGGTCAGACAGCTCAGTGTGTCATCTGAAAGTAGCCCGTTGAAGTAGAAGTCCATTGAAGCACGGTCGAAATGGATTTCATTGAAGTTGTTCGAGATAATTTAGGTATTAAAAGCATCCAAGCCAGAATTACAAAGGAGCGGGAGTGACCCCCCCCCCCTAAGTAGCGACAGCCGGTGACGTTTAGGGAGGATTCTCAAGCACCGACGAAGCTCAAAGCCGTTGGAGAGAAACGTCGCCGTTCGTTGGAATCCGGTTCAGTCACGAAAAGTCGGAAAGCCTCCAGTGAGGAGAAGCTTTATCGGTCACAATCTCATCATCAACACACTGGGCACCAATACGTAAGATATCTGTAAGCGTGACAATCTTGTAGGGTGGTGGAGGGTTCATGACAAGGATGTCGGCATAAAGTCACCACCAACGCGTGGCCGATCCCGAAAACAAATATGAGCCATTTGCTGCATTGGCTACGAAAACTTCTCGAGTTGAGTTCGAAGCGACATTATGTGTGTGACTGTGAGCCTGCGAGAGCGCGTGGGCACGAGGAGATGACGTGAGCACGAGGAGATGACATGCCTGAGAGGACGGTTGGCTACGTACGGTGTGAAAGAAGTTCAACGTACATGCAATGAACGTTGGCTAGGACAAATTGCTTTTGAAAATCGCTCTTAGGAAGATTAGTTAAAGAAGTATTAAAACGAATGTAAGATGATTAGTATGTAAACAGACAAGGATATATGTAGTTAATTAAACTTCTGTGGAATTATACTTATTTAACAATTAATTATATCTTCATGGGCTTTCTATATATAACAATACGTATACACACATGTTTTTGTAATAGTCCTCATAGTATTTGATATTTCTTTGGACAGGAATAATCAACATCCTTTAATTAGCCAAAATAATCCATTACGATTCCAGAGCAGCTGCTCTGCGCAAAGAAATGGCCAAAGATGAACTTACACAGTCCCATAATGTAGTACAGTACAACGTTGCACATCGTTGCAAGCAATGATAGTTCAACTTTGGGGTACAATTTCGGAGCGACACAGCAGTGAGATGTTAACTTCCTCGCCTGGTATATAGGAGGTCGTGGGTTCGATCCCAACCTTGACGCCTGCTGCTGTATATTTGGAGTTTGCTTGTTCTCCCTGTGGTCGTGTGGATTTTTCTCCGTGTCCTCCGGTTTTTCTCACCACATTTAGAATCAACATCGCGCGTTTAGAGTGTTTGGCCGCTATCAATTTCCACGTGATGATAAGCGGCTTCATTGAGCTATCATCTTTGGCCAGGTCGCTTCTGAAACAGAGCTATATAGCTCAGTGGGTCTTACCGAGTAAAATAGAAATAGTGAACCTAGCTTAGCAATAGGACACCATTGCAGCAACTTTGTGTATTTACCAACAGGCCAGAACCCGTCTCTTTTGCATGGAGACCAAGGATGTGAGAGTAGTTATCGGAGCACGGATATTCCGTTGAATAATTAAGTCGGAGGTACAGCTTTATCAATTTATAATTTGAGCTTCAACACCATTCCACAATCAACGGCCTCCCCTTTCAAAAGCCAGGCACCGCCGCAGCAGCAGAGGCCGTCTTGGTAAATCTCCTAAAATGCCACCGATGTGGTGACGGTGACGCTCCCGGTGAGCTGGCCGCCAACGCGGCCCCTACGGAGGTGACAGCGCAGAAAGCGAATTCCAAAAAAGAACCCCCCCCCACCTCCTCCTCCGTCAAGCCCCCCACCCCACTCCCGCCGCGCCTGCGTGTGGACGCGTTTGACCGCGATCGTGGTGACGCGGAACGCCACGGCTACATTCCCGTGGCTGCCGTTGAATTCCCCCATCGAGCACACCGCCCGTCAATTGATGTCTGCCTCTCCCTAAGCCAGCCGCGCGCTAAAATAAGCACCTCGTGCAGTCTGTTACCATCACCACGAGGGATACGATGGCAGGACTTCGCCACGGATCCCATGTGTAACGCGTTGGCCATTACAGTTGCGCTCGAACGCCGCTATTCCCGGCAGTCTAACGGGGTTAAAAGGCGAACCCTCTGCGTGTGCACACGTGGGTG